TCTCTCTCTCTCTCTCTCTCTCTCTCTCTCTCTCTCTCTCTCTCTCTCTCACACACACACACACACACACACACACACACACACACATATACACAAAGACCACCCCTGCTAGCCCTTGTCCCTGCACCGAGTCAGCCAAGCCCTTCTGGTGAGGGAAGGTCTCAGCATGTGCGGGGCTCCCACTGCCGCCCTCCCCAGGCCAGACCTTTTCCGGGCACCCTGCCAAAGTCCCAGGGCAGCTGACCTCCCTTTACCTGCTGCCACCGCTGGTTTGGGGAGCGGAGGGGCCACCGGGGAGGGAAGAGGAGGCAGCAGAGCTCGGCTACCCTTAGAAGGGAGATCGGGCAGGCTCCCGAAAGGAGAAGCAGGAGCGGTCCTCATGGGAATGCGGTGGGGAAGCGGGGTGGGTGTAAAAGGGTGGCCGCGGCGGCACAGGAGGGTGTGAGGGAGCTGGAGCGAAGGAGGCCGGGGAGAAGCTAAACCTATTGCTCTGGTGAGAGCCAAATATTTGCAGGGGCTGGTTGGAAAGGCCTAATTTTGGTATGAACCTTGAGTCGGGGCGGCGGGGAGTTGAACGATGAAGGCACTCTGCACATGATCCGAGGCAATCCTGCCACAGCTCACAGGTGGTGCTGCCAACAGTTGAGGGGAGTCAGAGAACTTCAGCGATGCCTCCTTTCCTCTCTCTCTCTCTCTCTCTCTCTCTGAGCGCCTGAACAAGCACCCGTCATTAACCAATTAACCAACACCAGCCTCGGAATCCCTTATTTCGGCATAATCTGGGATGAGAGAGGAGCCGTAAAATCAGGGACTTGGTGACAAGGTGCAGGTTCTTTTTTTTTTTTTGATTGAGTTCAATCACGAGACATTTCTGGATTTCATCGGCCATCCGAGGCGTTCAGAAGAACTTTTGAAAAACTAGTAGGTCTAACTTTGAGAAGCGATGAGTTCAGTCCTCTCAAATGGCGGAGGTTAGGGATGGTCTTTGGAGACCTCCCCTTTCCTTTAGCTGAGGGAGACCTGGGCGATTTTAGGCCAAAAGCTACCCCGGAGAGATTGATCAGAGAATGGGCAGGAAAGCAAAACAAGAACACATTTGGGCTAAGGCCTTTTCTCCCATTCCCTCTGTCGCAATCTCACAATTTTTACCCAGACGCAGATAAGCGTATGCTTTCTCTCTTGCCCTGCTGGTAGATTCAAAGACAATTAATGCGTGCTCACCTCACCACGAGGCCGTTTCTATCGGCCGATGGAAGCGCCCCAAAGGCAGAGTCACCAGCTGCTTCTACCGGCCGATAGAAATGGCCTCGTGGTGAAGGGAATGCACACAAGCGCTCGCCCCGAGGTCGCTTCTACCGGCCGATAGAAGCAGCTGGTGACTCTGCCTTCAGGGACCTTCTATGGGCTGATGTTCTATCAGCAGTATATCAGGGTATTCTAGCCTAGGCTACCTGCATGGCACTCCTAAAGGCAAGTTTCCCCCCCCCCCCCGTCCTTCCCCCCATTTCTCTTCATCTTGTGTAATTCTAACGAACGATGTGAGAAATTGCATGGTTTAAATAGGCCTAAATTTTGGGGGTGGGGCTTAATTTCACCTCATGCCTAGAAATCATGCTGGGCCTTCCTACTGGTGGAGGCTGTATTGTTGGAGAAACATGGTAGCTCTCCCAGGTAATTCTCATAGTTAATTCACAGTCTGGAGTTCTCTCTATAAAACTTCCACTCATTAGTTCTTTCTCTATCCTTAGGTGCTCTGAAGAATAAATCCATATCCTCTACTCTGTTATATCTTTTCATGTATTGGAGGAATGTTATCATGTCTCCTTATAGCTTTCTATTTGGTAAGCTAAACACGGCAAGTTCCTTTAATTACTGTTTGTAGGATTTAGCCTTCCTTATTGTACTTGCTTGTCTTCTCTGCATTCTTTTCAGCCCCTTAGTTGGATTGTGGCAATCAGAACTGGACACCGTATTCCAGGTACAGTTGGACCTGTGCAGCATATTTCTCTGTTGCTATTACCCCAAACTGCATTTTGGCAACTGCAGCACAATTGTTAATCGGTGGTTTATCAAAACACCCAGTTTCTTCTTCAAGTACTACTGCAAAGCCTAATATGTACCTGCGCATCTGTTTTTTTTTTCCTGCCTAAGAACAGAACATTACATTTCTCAACACTGAACATTTGGCTGGATAGGGCCCAATATTCATGTCTATCAAGTCCCTCTTCAATTCAATTCAATTCAATAGGCCCGGAGACTAAAACATGTGAAGAACGGTTGCAGGAATTGGGTGTGGCCAGTCTAGAGAAAAGTAGGACTAGGGGTGACAAAATAACAGCGTTGTTCCAATAACTAAGGGGCTGCCACAAAGAAGAGGGGATCAACTTATTTTCCAAAGCACCAGAAGACAAGACAAGAAATAATGATGGAAGCTAACCAAGGAAAGAAGCAACCTGGAATTAAGGAGAAAATTCCTAACAGTGAGAACAATTAACCAGTGGAAGAGCTTGTCTTCAGAAGTTGTGGGTGCTTCATCACTAAAGGTTTTTAAGAAAAGACTGGATAACCGCTGTCTGAAATGGGTCTCCTGTTTGAACAGGGGTTGGACTAGAAGATCTCCAAGGTCCCTTCCAGCTCTATTCTGATTGACTGATTGAATGGTCAGGTTCTTTTCTCCAGTGTTAGCAATCAGCCTCAGCTTTATGGACATCCACAAAGTTTATGAATATCCTTTCTATTCCCTCATCTAACTTATGAAGATGTGGAGGAGCATTGGGCCCAAGCAGAACCCTGGCATAACTCCCTGCATATCCCACCCATTATAGACAACACGTGGGTATAGTTGTTCCACAAATCTATCCAGCAGTTGGATTATCCGTCCCACATTTTTCCAATTTACCTAGAAGGAGACTGAAAATGTCACACAAATACAATTTGCTTGTCTGTGGTTCTGCCAATGGGACTTGAGAACTCTGTCTTAATGGTTAGAACTTAAACACTTAGGCGAACTCAGACAATGACTTACTCAATTATCCATAACGAGATAAATCATGGCTTAGCATTTAGAATAGAATAATACAGTTGGAAGGGACCTTGAAAGTCATCTAGTCCACCCCACCCCGCTCAAGCAGGAGACTACCATTTCTGACAGTTCGCTGTCCAGTCTCTTTGTACGAATACAGACTAAATCTCCTTTAACATGTAGGACGCGGTTCTCTCTTACGTCTGTTCAAAATTCCCGGACATGCGGAGCTCCAGTATTTCTTCAAAACTAACCTCCTCTAGCGCCCGAATGAGAACAAGCGAGCGCTTCATCCAGACGAAGCAAGAGGAGCCGCGAGAACGTTTGCGCCCGAGCCGCTTCGCTGGCAACCGGAGAGGTTGCTGAGGCTGCTCCTGGACCTGTGAGCCAATAGAGGGCGCTGCCACACCGTCCGGTTTCTCTCCAGAGGGCGGGGGCGCGAGTGGCTTTGCCGGACTTTGCCGCGGTGGCGGCCGGGATTCTGGCGGAGCCAGCTACGGAGGGGAGGGGGGGCGGCGGGGAGGAGAGGACGGGGGATGGCTGGAGTTGCCGGCGGCCGCGGCGGGGGCTGCAAGAAGCGCGGACAGCTACAAAGGGAATGACGGGGCACTCGGGGCGATAGAGAACCTGTCTCTGACCCAGCATGGCTGGTCTCATCAAGAAGCAGATTCTGAAGCACCTGTCCAGGTAAAGGTGGCCCGGGGTGGTGGTTGGGGTCCCCTCTGGGGAGCTGTTCGAGGGGCGCCGAGCGCACAAGGTAGGCGGGCGCGGGCCTGGAAGATCAGGCCGGGAACTCAGCAGGTGGAGAGCCGGCCCCAGTTGGTCGGGGCTCTGCGAAGTGAAAGCGGAGGACAGGTTCGCGAAGCCCCCTGACCCTCCGAAGATATTTTCTTAGCCACTTTCTCTGCCCCCCCCCCCCTGCCCGCCCGCCTGCCTGCCTTTCCGGCGGTTGTTTATTCTTCCCTGATGTGATATTTGATCACCTTCCCTACGATCAGTTTGCCCCTTCCCCTTTGACGTCTCTTCTGCCCTTTCCCTGTCCAGGGATTAAAAGAAATTCAGCTGTGGCTATTACATTGGCTCTTTTAGTTATCGCCCTCCGCCTTGAGCAATAGTATTCTCTCAATGTATTATGGCACTTGAATGAAGGTATGTTAAAATAGTCCTTTGTGTGCCTCTTTTACACACAGTGGATGAAGGTTGACTTTTAAACGCAGAGAAGGATCTAAGATGTTGCTGATTTTTGTTTTGTAAAGACCATATCTTCCCCGGGTGGTTTCTTTCATCTTCTTACAACTAGTGTCCTAGACCCTTCAAGGATTTCAAATGAATGTTTCCTTGGTGAAACATAGGAAACATTACAATGTAATTAAAAAAATATTATCAGCTTAATCTACTTTATAGGGAGAATAAAATTTAAAAAAATACTCTGTGTGCAATCTAGAAGCTATATGGAAAGTTCATATGGAAAAGCAAATAAGAGTAGAATAATGAATCATTTTGTATTTTTTGACAGAAAAACAGTAGCCTATTATTGTAACACTTTATCTGGAATCTGTAGATTTGCCAGCCTCATTGCTGTAGTTAACTTGTGGAATTTGTGTGACACTTGCTTTTATTTTCACTTGTTAATGAGTTGTTACTAATATGAAATCTCTTGGGTTAAATATGGATTGAAGGGGAAAATGCAAATTACAATGTGATAATTTAATCTGAGAAGCTTTAAAAGTCCCCAGCTTATGATTCTGACTAGGAAAGCAAACCCAGAAACCGAGAAGGAAAATAGATTAACTTCCTCAAATCCTCAGTAGCTTAATGCCCAGTCTGCATATTATGGGAAATAAATAGCTTTGCCACAGAGTCATTCTGCCCTTTCCCCCTTTTCTTGCATATGGAATATAGAATGGGATTCTGGTGCAGGAGAGTATAGTTGCTGAGGTGGCTTACTTCAGCTCACTGACTTTGAAAACAAAATAGCAACAATTGAGAATATGCATAGAAAGGCAGACTTCCCTAATTTACATCATTCTCCTTCTTAATTTATTATATGTTCCTTACATTTTTTTTCAAAGACATCAATCCCTATTGATTATTTAATTAGATTTGATCTGAATTGTACTTGCTATGGCTTTTAGTAGTTTACAACATAAACATCCAACCATGGTAAGCTAGATTAAGTGGAAAGAAAGTGTCTGACTGAATGATTTTCATGGATGTATAGCATTTTAAACCTGTGTGTCTCTATTATTAGTCTAACATTAATTGTACTCATAAACTATACTGGCTCACATATTGGAGGGATGATCATAATTCTATAAAAGGTGATTATCCTTAAGTACCAAAGCACTTTAATGTTAAATACAATAATGCACAGATTCTATGAAGAGAGACCATTGCTTGCATAAAGATGTACAGTGTCAGTAAATTTCAATGCTGCCTTTAAATCCTTAACAGAGAACTAAAGATAACTAGTAAAAGAGCTAAGAAAGAATTCTAGAAAATACCAACAATATTCTTCATAATAAATACATTTTTATCAGGGTGCTAGTTGGCAAATAGATGATTTTCTGAATAACAGAATAGTGCAGGTCAAGTGTTAGGTAAATAGTGTATATTGTTCTTTTAATGGAAGTGCCTGGTTTCCTCAGTGAAAAGAACTTAATTGTATGGAAATGTTACAACCACAACTGAGCTCAAAATTTTGGTTGCTAAGCAAGGCGGTTGTTAAGTCAGTTTTGCTCCATATTACGATGTTTCTTGCCACAGTTGTTAAGTGAATCACTGCAGTTTTTAAGTTAGTAGCATAATTGTTAAATGATCATTATGGCTGCCCCATTGACTTTGCTTGTCAGAAAGTTAACAGAATAGATAACAGAATAACAGTCATAAACATATGCCAGTTGCCAAGCGTCTGAAGTTTGATTGCATGACAACAGAGATAATGCAATAGTCATAAGTGTGAAAAACAATCATTAGTTACTTTTTTGTGCTTTGTTGTAACGTTGAGTGGTCACTAAATGAATGGTTGTAAGTTGAGGACCACCTGTATTGATAAATTAGTTATTGGACAATGTGTTTTCTGGAAGAGCCATTGGCAAATATTAGTAAATAATCTCTTTTGGGAGTAAGGGAGTGGGTTGAAAGTAAAAAGACTATTCAAGGATATTAGTGAAAAATCTTTGCCCATGCCATTCAGTGATTCACCGTATGCTTGTAGGGTTTCTGTTCAATAAACTGTATGAAAACAAAAGGGTAGTAATCCTATTAAATGCTCTTGTTTTTCCATCTGCTCTTGTTTTGATTGAGAATTAAGAAAAATCCATTCTTTTAAAATAATAGACTTGCAAAATACATAAGACTTTGGAAAAATAAAGGAAAGAGAATTGTTTTGAGTTGTAATGCAATCCATACAGTCTTCTTAACATTTTTGTGACTGCAATGTGATATGTTATGCTCTTAAATCTACTTTAAGGCAGAGATGGTATTCAGCAGGTTCTGACCAGTTCTGGAGAACCAGTAGCAGAAATTTTAACTAGTTCAGAGAACCAGCAAATACCACCTCTGACTGGAGATTTTACAGTATCTCTCCCTTGCCACTCCCACCAAGCCACGCCCACAGAACCAACAGTAAAAAATTTGAATCCCACCACTGCTTTAAGGGCAAAGTTCAAAGGAGGCTTTGGGATAACGGAATAATGAATACAATAGAGAGTGTATTATATTGTCTGAAGAGAGGAGAAGAGAGGAGAGACTTGACTTTATTTGGCTAAGTCTGATTAGACCCACAAAGAATTTATCTCCAATGCAGAAGCTCTCAGTATACATGCAAAGCAACAGAATGAGCATTATAATGATAATACCAAAAAGAGGGTACAGTAAAGAAGATAGTAAGAAGGATAATAATACTACAGCCATACTACATGGTTATGCATAATACGTAGACATTAGACAGTATAGTGATAATTAGGTGTTCAGCAAAGTGATGGCATGAGGGGAAAAACTGTCCCTGTGTTTAGTTGTTTTGGCATAATTGTTATTACATAGTTACCACATACATACTCTCAATAGAAATGTTCTCTCATGTTTTACTAATAATATACTGTAATGCATCAGGAAATTAAAAACAAGTTAATTTAAGATGTTTTAATTAAGGTTTGTAGAAGAAAGTTAAGACAATATTTAAAAGAAGTCTTTTTCAACTCCCTTCTATTCTCTTTTCACCATGACTTGCTCAACAATGCTTTCTAAAGAGCCAGAAATTCTAATGATTAAAACAAAAAAATCAAGATAGATAATAGACAATAATCTTCTATGTAAATCAGGGAACATAATTTTAAGAGGAGAGAGCAGTTTCCTGAGAACAGACTGATTAGCTAGGGACTTTAATTATAGGTATTCCTCAGCGTAGAACCATTATAGATCCTTGCCCATTACAGATGTATGTTGTGAGGATTTTATGACCTTTTTTCTGCCAGCATTTAAGTAAAAGTGGTGGTCAAAAAGCAAATGGCACAGTCATTAAGCAAATGGTTCACTATAGGCAGGATTTTGATGAAAAGCGGAAGTGCTGGTTTTTGGCAAAACTACTGTTAAAACACTTGGCCATGGAACGCTGCAAATTGCCATAAATACAGAATATTACGTTTAGTAATGTGGAGCTTAACATAATGCTGATTTTTTGAATTTTTATTTTAATCTCCATCTTTACTTCTTCCAGCTTTTATATCTTGAACAAAATTATAGGTAATGTGGGAAAAGTGAACAGGAGAGAAATCTTTCTCTTTGAGATACAAGAGCCAGGTTGTCTGATACATTAAAAGATTTTGAAAGTAACCCTTGAATGCATTACTTTCAATGGGCATTAAATATTAAGAAAAGAGTATTACTTAAAAAATAGAAACAGGTGGTCCTTGCTTAATGACCATGACACTCAACAAATGTTATTTAATGACATGATCTTAAGCAAAGACTACCCCTATGTATTTTTAAAATACTTCAAGGACCAGGAGAAAATAAAATTTCTTCAGCGCCATCATAATTTCAAACAGTCACTGCATGGCTGCTGATTTACTTCTGATCTTTGAAGCTAGAGCTATTGTAATGCCCCTGCAATCATATGATCAAACTTTGGCAACTTGCCTGCATTTACAGTTGTAGGATTTGCTTCAATTTCACTCCCAGTCCTCTCTCCTAATCACCTTTGGTCTTTTGGCCACCTTGTACTCCACCTCACCTGCTGCTTCCCCTACACTGTGCTCTGCCCAGCGCTCCACTGCCTTGCTCCACTGTGCTCTACCGCTAACTTCCCTGGCTGACCTTTATCATTCCTTCCTCTGCTGATGTGGCATGCTTGATCTGATCCTTTGCAAGGCAATGTGAGGTCGAGCACTGCCTTCCTGAGGCCTCACATGGCCTTGCAGTGCAAGACCAGCAGCTACCTTTTTGATGGGTTAGGCCAAATGCATCTCAGTAGTGGGAGGAAGAAGGCAAAAGACAGCAGGGGTGGCGGGCTGCAGGGCAGTAGGGGCACAGGATGCCGTGTGCAGGGTAGCAGATACAGCATAGTGCAGGGTGGCAGGGATGATGAACGGTGACAGAATGCCCCAAAGGGGAGAGGGGAAGATTGGTAGGGGCGAGCAGAAGCAAATAGGACAGGAGAAGCATGAAGTCCTCACCTAATGATGGCA